ACAGCTCATTTTCAAGATCAAATCAATCTAACTAGTAAAATAACCCCCCATTAACCTGGCTTATAATTGCAAATTAAAAGAATTAATGCTATCTGCCTATTAAATTAGCAGAGTTTTTGTAACTGTAGTGACTAATGTTAGCCAAAGGGCAGTGACACAGGCACTATCATATTTTTACAAAGTCATCTAGTATCACAAGTCATTAAAGGTTTACTACAATGCACCCAATAATTTCATCTCTAAATAATGATTCCTAAAGAAATAAACCAAAAGTTCAGAGACCCCCTCCAGAGAACAAAACCCCAGACTTGTGCTCGGGTGAGAACAGACATGGTAACCATCCACTGAGCTGAGACAAGGAGGGACCCTAGGCTCCAAAGACTCTTTCTTTTTTTTTAATTTTTTAATGTTTTATTTATTTTTGAGAGAGAGAGAGAGCGTGAGCAGGGGAGGGTCAGAAAGAGAGGGAGATACAGAACCCAAAACAGGCTCCAGGCTCTGAGCTAGCTGTCAGCACAGAGCCCCACATGGGCTCGAACTCATGAACCATGAGGTCAGATGCTCAACCGACTGAGCCACCCAGGTGCCCCTCCAAAGACTCTTTAAATAGACATTCAATTGGTCCTTCTGTTTTTATTTCCACCTTCACATCTATTTTCAGAAATACTATCAATTCTTTTTTTTAAGTTTTATTTATTTTGAGAGCGAGAGCACAGCATGCACATGCGAGAGAGAGAGAGAGAGAGAGAGAGAGAGAGCGAGCAGGGGAGGGGCAGTGGGAGAAGGAGAGAGAGAATCCCAAGCAGGCTACATGCTGTCATCCCAGAGCCTGACTGGGGACTCAATCCTTCAATGGTTAGATCATGACCTCAGGCAAAAATCAAGAGTTGGTCACTCAAACGACTGAGCCACCCAAACGCCCTGAAATATGACCAATTCTTAAATGTTTGGAGTCTTCTTCAGAACAGCCAGGCTGCCTCTCAGCCCCTTCCACTGTGCGTTCAGGAAGCCACCCTCCCAGACCCAGAGTTAGGGTCAGGGTAAAGGCCAAGGTCAGGGCTAGAGCCAGTGTGAGGGGTAGGGTAAGTGCCCAGGACCCTGCAGCCCAGAAACCCCTAGAGAAGGCCAGGGCTAGTTTCAGGGTCAGGATCAGGGTTAGCGTCAGAGGTTAGGGGTTAGGGGCCAGGGCATGGAAAATTTGTGATGCGTGATGATGTTCATTACATTACTTAAAGAAAAAATGATGTCAATGATATACTCTATAAAACATCATGCAGCAATAAAAAGGATGGTTATGGAAACAATTATATGTTGCAAAAAGAATGTGATACAATACTACCTAAAAAAAGCTATGATACTAAACCAAATATAATCTATGGTTATAATGTGAAAAAATGAATGTGTATAGGAAAAATATTAACAGTGATTGTATTAAGAAAGTAGGATATTTTGAGTAATTTTTTGGCATCTTTGGTTTCCACTTTTGGAAATATGGACAGATTTCTTTGGAAAGCAAACATGCACTTGACTAATGTACTCCAAGAGCTCTGACAGAGGTCAGCTCACCCACCGGCACCCACTCACACATTCACTTCCATCCACAGTACATGTTCTGTTTCCACAAAGTGACTCAGAATGAACACCCAAATGCTTGCCTTTTTTTTTAAACCACAATTCTACATAGAACAACTGTCCAATTCTTACCTTATGCTCCTTTATATCCATCCATTTCCACTTCTGGGTTGAAGGGTAAGGAGGATGGAGCAGGAACAAAACCAGAGCCTTCATCCGTGGCCAGCTCTTGTTCCCTGAAGGTCCCCCCACCCACTTCAGCAGGGCCTCGGTCTGCCCATCTCCGCCAGCCTCACTCACGATAAAAGCCAAGGTGGAACAAGTCAAGGAGGCTTTCACTGATGATAGACTCTCCGTGAGGTTTCCCGCCAGAGGAGACTAATGTGCTTTACAATAAACTACCGCACATCTTTGTCTTTAGCAGATCAGGGCAGGTGAACTTATAAGCTATGGTGAGTCAGTATTATGAAGGCAAGAAGTCCAAGTTCATTCTCCTCTTATCACAAGTTCTACACTCTTGTCTCACTTGTCTTTTGGGCCTTTCACATCTCTAGACAAAAAAAATCAGTGAAGTCTGAACAATGTAAAGGGTTGGACAAAACCACAGAATGAATCTTCACCACATACTAAACCCATTTTTTGCATCACAAGGCAAGGAGGTGAACTCCATGATCTCAGGCAGTGGCCTTTCCTTCGCGTCCAGGAGTCTATGATGTATTGACCCATCAGGCTTCTGAAACCACTGCCATAAATGACAAACAGATAACCCTTTAGGCACAAGAGAATGTATTCATGAAATTAAAAGGAGCCCTGCTCATATCTTGGGTCAAGGAAAACCTGACCATGAAACGCTGCTGAGTTTCGGATCCAACCCTTGAAGTTCAGACCACGTTGGATGTGTCTGAACCAGGGCTGGTATGGATACAACTTTGTTTACTCTGTCAGCCCAGGGCTGCGCTGCTGGAGACATGCTGGCTAGCCATGGCCGGGCTCACAAAGGGGCCTTGTAGCTCTGGGGCCAAGCCTCAATGGCCTGTCTGTTACATCCCCTGGGCCATTTTGATGTGCCATGTCAATCCAGCTGCCAAGACTGGCAATTGGCTCAAATCCCTCATACATTTCTTCTTCTTTCTGACATCATAACTTTGAGACAAATGACACCTTCCACGAACAACTGGGTGGCTCTACTGTTGGCACTTTCCTCCTCCCTTTCCCATATCTCCCCACTTCATATCACACGAACTGCCAAATGACGAACTGCCAAATGACAAAAAGCAAAATGACCCCCTTTACGCACTGCTGTAAAGCCAAAGAGAAGAAGTAGACTTCATGTGAGGATATCCCCACCTTCTACCAAGCTCTAGAGGCTGAGTTAAATGTTTAGGAAAAATTGCGAAATATCACACACCAAACTCCGATATAATCCTGTGGTAAAGATCACAGACTACTTTCCACAAGTCTCTGGAATTAATGTGGCACCCATACCAAAGATATGAAGACCTTGTTTCCCCCTTCTTCAAACTTGACGGTTTTAAAGTTTAAATATCTCCTGTGGCTTAAGGATCTATAAAAGGGAGTATAAAAGAGTACATAGAAAAGAGACAAGAGCCCCGTGGGCCCCATCTTGGATTCCTCAGTGAGGTCAGGCTGTGCCCCCTTGAGGAAGAATGAGTTCTGTAGCCTAAAAGGTGGTATACTGCTCCCAAGTTGGCATTCCAGGCCCAACGCGTGGAAATGTGTCAGCAGCTGGGAAGAAAAGGGTAGGTTGGCCACCTCTCTCCCTGTCAGGGCCCAGTCACACCCTTTTCAGAAGATGTACAGCCAAGGTATGCCCTGCACACAGTGGCTGGGGTCGCACAGGGAAAACTCACCTTATCTGATTTAGAAACAGATAAATAAGGGCCCTTGTGAGGATGAAGACATAGTCAAGAACAGGCAGTGGCAGCTTGCCTGCTCTTCTCACACTCCACACTCTCCCCAAGAAGCTCGGCAGCATCGAAATGCCGGGATCTCCCAAATTTGTATCTTCAGACCCAATTTCTCCCTTGAGAGCTTGATTTCCAATTACCCTGTGATTCCTCAACTTCCATACCTGATCAGTCATTAAACCCCATCAATTCTACTCCCACACCCCTCACAGTATATAATGTTCCCCTACACCTCTGGCCTCAAAACTTAGGCAGTCCTCCTCAATTCCTTGCTGGACTACTGAAATTGTTCCTGACGGTCATCATGGCCCCCGGTCCTGTTCCTCTGCTTCATCACCCTTCACCACCCCTTAGGTCAGCCTAATAAACATCACCAGAGTCTGACTTGAAAACACTGGCTTTCTCAATTGCTTATGGCTAAATTCCAAACTCCAGAGTAGGGCTCCTAAAGCCCTCCACCGGTTGGTCTCCATTCCCTGTTCTAAAATGCTTCTGCCGCTGCTGACCAAACCCTGACCCACTAGCGGCACCGCAGCTCATTCTAGATGAACCAGCAGCATGCCCCCTGCACGGTGTGCCCCCTGCACGGTGTGCCCCCTGCACGGTGCACCCCCTATACGGTACACCCTGCTACCTCATCTCTTCGCTTGCTTTCCCCACAGCTCCTGTTCGTCCTTCAAGACCCTACTTGGAGGTCACCTCTTCTGTGGGGCTCTTCCCTACTCCCTCCAGTTGTGAGTCATACTCTGGTTCTGAGCCCACAGCAAGCTGCATGGCATGATGGGCTCAGGTGCTGGCTCCCCCGGGGCAGTGCCCTAAGGTCCTGGAGGGCAGGGAGGCTTTTTCTATCTCTGAACTTGGTACAAGGCTGCACTGAGTACACACTCAGCAAGTGCTGCTGGATCTGCCGGGTCATTGGAAAGGGATCAGAATTAGCACAACGGAGGGGAGAGATTCCGACAGTCGGGGCAGTGGGCCTAGATGTGTGGGCCATGGAAATGTAGGAATCTCTCTAGGTTTTAGTTTCTCATCTGTTCAGTATAGGAGGGGAGACTATATGATTAATATGGCCTCTTTAACTCCTCAGTTCTAGTGTTCACACTACACTTTCCTTTCCAATCGACAATGAAGAAAGGCTCTATAAAACCCCATGGTAATAACATGCTCCAGGAGTTTGGACGCTCTCCATGAAGCCAGCCAGGAAAATTGCTGCCTTGCCTGGCCACTCGGCACAGCTCCCAGGGCAGCCAACAACGGAGGCTCCTCCCCTAAACTCAGAAATCCCCAGTTGCCTTTTGTTACATTTGGAGAAAATCCCCAATTGCTCTTTGTTCTGTTTGACTCTATGTATTTTGGCCAAGAAGTGGCTTATTAAATACTACGCGCAAGAAAAAAAAATGGCAAAAACCTAACATGACTTGAAAATAACAAACACTAAAAACACGATGGGCTGAATTCTGACATGCCAGGCTAAAAACTCTGGGCTTGATGGATAATCACCTTGTAACCCCATACTCCGGGGGCGGCTGGTACCTCAGCACGGCCACCTCTGTTCTCGCGGGCTGAGGAGCAGGGTATGGCTTGACCATCTCATGGAGCATCCCTGGGTGCTGGTCACTGTAGAAAAGTCCATGCTCCTGGGTCTTGCTCACCGGGGACATCATCTGCTTGGTCTTATAGGGGTACTCGGGTGGAGGACCCCGGGGGTCCAGTGCTTTGCCTGCGGGCTGGGCGGAGGAGGGGCCCCCACCTGCCTTGAACCCTTTTCCGCTCCCTGAGCCAGGGAGGTGCTGCTTAGCTCCCGTCCTCTCCAGGGATAGCTGCATGATTCTCTCACTGAGCGAGCGGACGTGGCCCTGCTTAAGCTCTTTGAGCGCCTCGTCCTTATGTGCCTGTCCACTGTTGGCGCGGTTCACCGTGGGTCTCCCCTCAGTCCGGGCCTTCTGACTGGTGCCCCCAGCCATGTAGTACCCATGGCCGACAGCCCCCTGCTGCTGTTGCTGCTGCTGCTGCTGCTGCTGCCCTCTGAAGAACTGGGACTGGGCCTTGGCCTCCTCGTAAGTGGGCAGCTCCTCATTGTTCTGCTGAGGCTGCGTGGACCGCACCTGTTTCTCCATCACCGCGTTGTCCACCTGGTGTTCTTGACCCTGCGGTTCCTGGCGTGCTGACTGGTAGACCATTTGTGGGTCTTCTTGGGTGAGGTTTTCCGTGGAAGAAAAGTTGTTTGTAGGGTGGGCTGGTCCTGCACTCCCTGTGGCCTGGTGCTGAATGGCCAGCAAGTTCATGTTCTCGGTCGGGGTACCATACCGCAGTTGTTCCTGGATCAGCCGCTGCAATACTGTTCCAGCTGCCGCATCCTCGGAACCTCTCATTTCCACCTCTGAGATCCTCAGGAAGTTTGGGGAGTGGAAGTTACACAGAGGATCCTCAACTGAAAGACAAATGTGGGGAAAAAAGAATCAGAATGTTCCACAGGAATACAGGCCTGTTTATGCATGGTGAATAATGAACATTTGAGCTACAGAGCCCTTAAAGACAAAATTTCAAACACACCACCACCTCGATTTTCCCTGCAGTTTCTCACGAAGAGTTTCTCCAATTTAAAGCGTCTCTACTACTCTCCATTGCCTGGCCTCCTGCTTCTTCCTGGACCTTGCTCTGTCCTTACCCCCTTTCCTTCCTTTAAACTCCCACTGGCCCCTTCCCTTCTTCATAAAAGCATGCCAAATCTTTCCCATCTTAAAAGATAAATGCAAGCAAAAAAACAAGATCAAACAAAAAGGAATCCCCTTTTCTTGGCCCTAGCCATGGACCCCTAATTGCTGCCACTATCTCTCCTCCCCTCCTCTTCTGATTGTCCTCAGCAAGCGATCTGCACTTGCTGTCTCCACTTCCCTGATGCTCCATTCAACGCCCTCCCTACTGCTCTGATTAGCAACCAAGCCCAATGAGAATTTACCACCTCCCGTATTATGCAGCTCACCTCTCTGAAGCATTCCGCAAGTTGATCATCTGCTTCTTGAAATGCTCTCCTAATTCAGCATCCAGGTCTCCCGCCCCCAATACCCACCCTGGTTCCAGCTCCCGCCTCTCTGCACACTTCTCTGACTCCCTTTTTTCCACCTGCTCCTTAAATCTGGTGTTTCCCACAGTTCTGCCCTGAATGCCCTCGGCTGTCACTCAACAGAATTTCCTGGGTCATCACACCTGCTACTCGTCTTCAACCGCTGACTCAGGACCCACATCTACAACCACCAGCAGATGGTCTGTTAGTTCTTCAAATTCAACATGTCTTCCTCACCCCCACCAAACCCCATATCCCTGCCTCATCTTCTCCTTGCCAAGCCAGAAACCTGGGAGTTTTCCAAAATTCATTCCTTCTCCCCTACCCCCAACATCCAGCATCAGCCTTTCAATTCTAACTCTTAAACACCTCTCCCAACCTTCTTCATTCCCACCCCAATCTCCAGTTTATTATTAATAACCACAATATAACCCCAAGAACCATTGTAAAAGTGTATATGATGTATCATGTATTGTGCTAAATTCTCTCCATGTTATTTTGTTTATTCCACATGTAATCGTATGAGGGACATACAATTTCCCATCTCCTGCAGATGAGGAGGGAGGTTCAGAGAAGGCAAATGACAGAGGTCACAGGCATAGCAAAACCCAGAACCAGGACCTTACTCATTCTACAACAAAATCTGTGTTCATTCCACAACACTGCAAAGCCCTTGGTGTCTCATACCCAGACAATTCCATCAGCCTCCTTATCTATTTCTCTGACACTTGCCTCATTCCCACCTCCAAACCCATCCCTTTAGACCTCAACCTATCTTCCACATTACCCTGAAAGACTGTTTAAATAGGAAAACCTATTTATATCACTCCCCTGCACAAGATTCCTCAATAGTTAATTACAAGATGAAACTGACATTCAACCCTAGGATGTAGCAGGTACTGCCTTACCTATCGGGCAACAGTGCAGGCCACCAGCACCACCTCCCCTCACTGGCAACTCCTTGGCGTTTAAGCTCCAGCAACACCGAAGCCATATAGTTCCTAGACATGCCAGTTCTCTCCTGTCTCTAGGCCTTTGCTCACATTCTTCCCTCTCCCTAGAAAGGTGCATCTCACCATGTCTTCTTGGGAAATTCCTAGACATGCCGCAAGTGATAGCTTCACAGCTGCCTCTGAGTCAAACGTGTCCTTCTGCAGCCCAGCAGAAGTCCCTCTCCTAAGTACCCCCTCCATTTGTCTATATCACCATTAGAGCAATTGTCACAGTAGATGGCAATGACTTATTTACACAAGACTCGCAGCTTCCTCAAGGCAAGGATCATGCCACCTCTTCTGGGTCTCCCTGGTGCACAAACCAGTGTCTGCATATAATGGGGGAGCAAACACTGAACCAGTCCAAGAATACCTACATGAGCGCCAGGAAATATAAAATGTATCCATTTCGCAACAATACTAATAAGTAGTGTATTGAGGAAATTACATAGCATGAGGATAGTAAAAATTCTAGTTCTTACTACCAGCATGACCTTGAGCAAATTGCTTACTCTCTCTGAGCTTAATCTCATCTGCAAATTGGTAGAACAGAACTAGACAATCTCCAAACAGCCTCAATTCTACAATTCCAAGCAAGGATGGCTCTGTGCTTCTATATGTACAGAGAACATATCATCTTCCCCACCCCACCCCCAACATCTTTCTTCCCCAAGGTTGCCTTTTTGTTTTGTGTTTTTTTCTAAGTGGCTTCTTTATCATATATGAGTCATCCAGACAGAAATGTCAGATGAACTTTTGGCCCTCTGTCTCCTTTTCTCCCCACATTTGATCAACTGCCAAGCTGGTTTTCCTCAGTCCACAGTGACATGAGAAAAAAATAAGGGTGGTGGAATATGCTTACAAAATATATAGATTTATGTATACTTGCATATATACACATGCATATACACAGACATAGTCATTGGTTTGTGCCTTTTTTGGCATGACATATTAAGGGTTATATCACTTTTTTTGGTATTAAAATATGAGAAAAGGTGATATTAGATGACATTTTTAGTGTCTCTGCAATAGCAAAAGACTGCAACCCTAACTTGTATGCCCTCAGCCACTTTCTGGGTTTGGGCTCCTCTTACCAGTTGCCTAGATGTCCTGAATAGCCTCCTAACATCACTTGCCTCTGGCCTCCTCCTTCCATCCACACTGCATTTATTATCTGTCTTCTTCTACTAGAATTCAAGAACTGGAAAGCAACATTCTATCTGTTAATATTCACTTGCTGTAGCTCCAGGGCCTAGAACACAACCCCGACTCACTGACGACATTCGGAAAATACTGGCCCAGCAAATTCAAGAACTTTATGGACTGGTTCCTGAAGCTCAGCTCTGATCATGTCACTCTGCCTCCCCCCACCCACCCCAAACCACACCACTGAGACCTCAGGCAAGCGATCTGGCTTCTCTGAATCTCTCTCTGTAAAATGGGCAGGCTTCGTATCTGCTTCACGAGACTACACGTGCAGGAAACGCAAACTTACTCCCTGCCTTCAGAGAATGTCTATTGTAACTGAGACCTAAACCCAAAGCCCAACAATAAAAAATTTTAAACACTAAAAACAGATTACTCAAAGTCCACATAAGATGAATTACCAAGTAACTGTAATAAGCGATGAACAGATCAACACGGGCTGAAATGGGCCCCACATTCCTGTGCAAATCCTACGCAACCTGTTACATCCATTCAGAAAGGTGTCGCCACAGAAGGCAAAGAGAACAGTCTTTACCCCCAGGATAACTGCTCTGAAATTTGAAAGCAAAGTCAAATAAAGATGAACGCTGTGAATAACTTGAATATAAATTTAAATAAAAATATATTTCCAAAAGAAAATTATATTTTAGGTTAATAATAAAAGGAACGGGGTCTCATCAAAACTACTGAATTCCCTTTTCAGAAGTGCATTTGCCAAGAACCATGAGATCCTTCCCTATAGTGATTTTAAAGATTCCCTCCCAGTTTTACCAATCTCAAAAGCCCTCAAAAATAGGCAGGAAGCAGGGCGCCTGGGTGGCTTAGTCGGTTAAGCGTCCGACTTTTGCTTAGGTCATGATCTCACGGTTCATGGGTTCGAGCCCCACGTCGGGCTCTGTGCTGACTGCCAGCTCGGAGCCTGGAGACTGTTTCAGAGTCTGTGACTCCCTCTCTCTCTGACCCTCCCCTGCTCACGCTGTCTCTCTCTCTCCTAAAAATAAATTAAAAAAAAAAAAAAAATAGGCAGGAAGTTTCCACAAAGGAGGTAGCTCCCTCCATACTATAGTTTTGGATTTCTTCTGAGTCTCTGAATTATTCGCAAAAAAAGAGATAAAGTGAAAAGGAGAAGGAAAAATATTCTGGGAAAGAGTACCAAAAAAACGTATTTAGGAATTGGAGAAAACTTAGGGAGTAAATGGTGTAAATCTCAAGTTCCTACATAAGAATTCTGCTGAGAGTCACATTATAACAAAATAGCCTATTGATGCCATGGCAAAAACATTTTAAAAAAAGGCACCTACCAATAAAGAGACAATCAACAATACAACTGGCTGATCTGTAAAGCGAGGATAGAGGGGAAAATATGCAAAAAGGCTAAAAACCAGAAACATATGATCATCTTGTTTTTCCAAACCAAATGCCAGTAAAAGGACTTACCAACTTTTTCCCTGATGCCACCGTTTGCCTCCACCGTCAAAGCAGATGCTTCGCGCCTCCCAGAATAGAGCTGGAAGTCTGGGAAAAAGTAGTTGGGGTCTTCTAGAATCGGGGTGGAACTACCAGGGCTGTAACAGACAGGAGAGGGTCCTGGGGAAGAAGCAAAGTGCGTGTTAGCGTCACTGAAGTCCTTCTCTCCCTCCTTCCTGTGTGACTCATAAGAGCTCACGAGGCATTTTCCCACATTCGACTCAGAGCTGTCTTTTTGATTCATAAAATTCCACAGTTACCATTCAGAAGTATCTCAAGTCTAACCACCCACCAAAGTGACCCGTGAGGTCAGAATAACAATCTTCAAGAGACACTAAGTGAAGTCATGACGCTTTCGCACAACCCAGTTCCAAGGGTGGCAGCAACAGCACCGACGAAAATCAAGCCCTCTGCAGAACTGGACAGAGTCCCAAAGTTGGGGCTGGTCAAGGTGTGGGGCAGAAGGAACAGAGGTGGGGAAGCCAGCGAAGGAAATACTAAAACAGGGAGAGCAGAATGCATTAAAGATACAGAGAGGGATTGGCCATTTTGCTAGGCCATGTGTTAGCACGAGTGTGTCCCAGGCCAGGACAGAGTGCTCAGCTCAAGGTTTCTGGGGGCCCCTGTGGCAGTGTGAGTCTGGGTCAGGGGCTCTGGCCCACCGCCAAGCACTGCCTTTCAGCTCCAGTTTATCTGCTTCACACACAAACCGGAGTGTGCTTCCTGTTCCAATTAAACGTGACACAGTATTCAATCCTACAGCACTGAGCATGAGATACCATTACAATAACACCGACAGGCACATACAACATCGTGGGAACCCTCGGGCCCCAGCCCTCTTCCCTCCCCACACTGACTTCTCTGCTTGAACACCACATTTCAGGCTCTTTTCAGCAAAAGGAGTTTGGTTACAGGGCACCTAAGTGTCTCCGTGGTTGATCATCCGACTCTTGATTTTGGCTCAGGTCATGATCTCAGTTTGTGAGCAGGAGCCCCACACTGGGCTCCGCGCTGACAGCCAGGAGCCTGCTTGGAAGTCTCTCCTTCCCTCTCTCTGTGCTCCTCCCCTGCCTGTGCATGTGCGCTCGCTCGCTCTCTCTCTCTCTCTCAAAATAACCTTAAAAAAATGTAGCTTAGTTTACTTCAGGGGAAGAATCATGCTTTTCTTTTTAAACTAAAATCCTTGCCCAAATGATAATTCCATTAGAACAAAAATGTTTTTCAGCTGTAACTTCACACTAATTTGAAAGCAATTTGAAATTTCTTGCTAGGTTGTTTTTTTATCTCCTCTTTTCTCACAAGGCCAAAGCTAGTAGTAACTAATTAATGAGGCCATAGATGGGGATTTACTCATCATCTTCCTCAGTTTCTTCAACACACAAAGAAGTGTCTGCATGTCTGCTCACATATATCTTAGGCATGTGTGGACTAGAGCGAAAAAAAAAAAAAAAGGTTTTGACGATTAGAATATTTACCTTGCAAAGTTAAAATAAATACTGTAGTAGTGACTCTTATCTTAAAGATGAATATAAACTGAATATGAATGGCATATTATATGGACATCAGTCTAACTGCAGTTACAATACCTATGACATCTGTCAGGGTTCTCTCCGTGGCCAGGGACTATCCCAGAAGAAACTTGCCTCTTTCTGGGCCTCATCTTCTACATCTATAAATCTAAAAGTCTCGGGCTAAAATTAAGAATCACAGATGACCTGGATCCCGAGGCAAATTCTGACCTGGCTTCCACTTCAGCAGGTGGAACATGTTGGTGGAAAACTGGAGAACTGCAGCGTGCAACCTTGGCTGCCATTACAGTCGCCAAGGAACTTTGAAAATCCTAATACCCAGGCTTCCTCCGACCTCTTCAGTCAGAATCTCGGGGGATAGGGCCCAGGCACCTGTACCTACGTAAACTCCCCAAACGATTCTGGTGTGCAGCCAGAGCTCTGAAGCCCTAACTGGAGGGAGAACAGTGCACACTCAAAAATCCCCCAACACAAAAACACCTTTCTGTGCCCTCACCCCACTCCCACCAAATCAGCACAAAAAAGGAGCTGAGGACCCACACGCTTCAACAAAAGAAAGAGTGGTGTTTTCTCATAGTGGATCTGGGTCAGGAACGGCCACGTGCAAGCATAAGTCACTTTGGGTGACATCGTCTAGTCATGTGACTAAAAATTTTAAGTGAGAACAGAGAGCAAGCGGCTAATGAAACCGAGGCCTAATAATGGGTAATATGTGAACGTGTATGTGCATACAAAGGAGTGTGCAGAGTGTGTGTGTGTGTGTGTAGACATATGCTTTTAATATAGAACCTATTAAGAACCTCTGTACTAAGCCATTCTCATCACCGCAATGAGACAGTGGGTACAAGCCCCACGTGAAAAGCATTATGTACCTCGGGCGCTTTCTTTTGACTGTTAAATCGCTTCTTTTAGAGAGCAGAACCAAGATGAGGCCACACTTACAAGCTGGACCTAGAACAGAGAACCCTGGCTCCTGAGCGCACCAATGAGCTGCCTGCATTGCCGGCCAACATCAACCAATCAGGACGAGGCCCTTCCCACCAATCAGGATGAAGCTCTTTTCTGGGCACCTGGCTGGCTCAGTTGGTTAAGGAAGGGACTCTTGATTTCAGCTCAGGTCATGATCTCATGGTTCATCGGATCGAACCCCGTGTGGGGCTCTACACTGTCAGTGGGATTCTCTCTCTGCGCCTACCCTGCTTGCACACTCTCTCTCAAAATAAACATACCCTGCCTGTGTGCTCTCTCTCAAAATAAATAAACTTAAAAAAAAAAAAAAGATGAAGCCCCCCCCTTCATTAGCATATTAAGCCTGAGTAGGAACCTGACCTGAACTTCCGCTCTAGAAGCAGGGCCTCCCTTCTGTACCCGCTGGCCTATCTAACTCTTCTCTGGTAGTGCTGAGTCTCCTTCAGCGCAGGCTGTAGCCCCAGTTAAAGCCTTGCCTCTGCCTTTGATTTTGGGGTCCATCCTCAAGTTTCTATCCATGCAGAGCCCCAGGAACGAACCCGACTCCAGTAACAACACTGGTACAAACTGATTCTCCACACCTTTATCCAGTGGCCCGCCGCACGAGAACAGGTTCAAGGGCTCCGGGCCACAGAGCGTACAGGTACAGAGCTGTCCGTGAAAGCCCGCCGCGCCCCCAACACAGAGGGCACCACAGACACGCCTCCTTTCACCACACAGGCCTCAGTGTCAGGAAAGGGGGAAAACACTCTCACACACCCGCAGACCGAAGGACACAATGCCCAACATCTCAACCATCATTTAAGACTTCCTTTTTTGTACGCTGGGGTGTCCCGAGCATTCCTGGAGAGTTACGTCCCCACCGCTGCCCCCACTCCTTGGAGCCGAAGGAAGAGGAGCCCAGCAGAGGAGCAGCCGGGCCTGGCAGGCAGGCCTCCCGTCACGGCTCCACCAAGCCAAGAGACCCAAGAGAAGCTCCCAGCACTGACATACCCTACGAGACTCGTGTTATTTGTGGCTTCCTCACCTGGAAGACAAGGTAAAATGAAGAATGTGTGTCACCGGGTCTGCATCAGCCTCCTGGGCTGGAGAGCAAAAATGCAAGAGAGGCCTCGCCCTTAATCCCACAGGAACATAATCCTTCCCTGCCTCTTCTAGCTCAGAATCTCCAACTAGGAAGTCCGAGAGCACAAAGTGGCTCTACTTTCTTATGCGAAACGCAGGGTATGTGATCTACCCAACGGGGTCAAGGTTATCTGACATGGAAACCGGAAGTAAGCATGTGACTTATGTTACACGACATATGACAACATAGGAGTGGGGATGCTGCTGGCTGTGTTAGCATTCTCCACGCCCAGAAGCAAAACTGGTTGCAGCGGGCACACGCAAACACCGCCCCCACCCAGGAAGCCCCCGCAGGGCGTGGCTCCTGCCCAGGGGCTCAGTGACAGGGCCTGTTTTAGGGCGGTACACCGCCAGTCAAGGATCCTGCCGCTCGACCGTGTGTAATCTGTACATGTCATAGGTACCGGGGCTTTCTTCATAAAGACCGGTTCCACAGAAGGTCCTCCTGACTTAACCAATTCGCGGTTTCCTGCTTCCTTCAAACCAGTCCTTGTCCCAGAATTATCGCGGACAGCTTTAGTCTGCGTGGGGAACCTGGTGGTAAAGGATCCTGCTGTCTATGGGGTCCCCCTCCCGCGGCTCCTGTGGCTCGTGGCCTGAGGGAAAGCCAGAGATCTGTTCTGGCTGCACTCCGCAAAGGGTGAGGTTCTGGAATTATCCTTTGAGGGTCGGCATTCCTGCCTCATAGAGTGACTGTGATCCAGCTCACCAAGAATGGTCCCTTCTTCGTGACAAACCCTGCGTGTCACCTGTCAACATGAAGAATCTTTTGCTTCTATGAGCATCACTGCTTTTAGCTTATTTCTAAGAGCAGTGAAAGCTTCCTTCCCATTATGGTTTTATGCTGTTACTTCCTTTGTAACTGTCCGGAGGCCTTTAGGTAATGTGACCCTGAACCAAAACTTTTTTTTTTCCTTACTCAATACAGCAATTACAAAGGGCGTCACTGTTGATGGAAAAATGAATGAAGGTAAAACGAAGTGAGTTTTCCGGGGCAGGCAAGGGGCACAAAAACCCTGGTGATCTCCTCTCATCTGCTTCACCCCCATCTTACTAGTTCCTTCCCTAAGATCAGCTCTTGATTCTGTAAAGAGGCTAACCTAACAGGCTCAGAAGTATCCTTTACGTTTAAACACCGGAGGACATCCAGATCGCCACCCCATTATCATCCAACACTCACAGAACTGGGAAAGCTCCTGTCCTCAAATCCCACTGGCCACTTGCTTGCACATAACCATTTTGGCTAGAGCCTCAAGTCCAGATTTTGCTTAGTTTTTAGCACTGCCTACTCTCAGGCCCCTCCTCTAAGCTGCCAACAATCTGGGTGCTCCACTCCGCATCCCAGTGCCCCGTGAACAGGTCACCCCCATTTTCCAAGTTCCAGCCAGGAATGCATTTGTAGCGGCACACTCCTCTCCCCAGGTCCTTTACAATTCACCCCAACAAACCTCTCACTCTACCTCCAATACACACACACACACACACACACACACACAC